TGAGAATGCGTGGCGCTCACGACAGGAGGCGGAGGACGAGGGGAAGGAATTGGTTGTTCTCCTCGTCGTCCTCCTCCTCCGTCCGCTTGGATGCAGTCATGGCCAACACATAAGTGTGGTGTCGATGATAGCCGACGGCGCAATTTTCGAGATTGATATTAGCGCAACGCGGTCGACTTAGCCATGAGGGCTGCCGAAAGTTGTGCATGTTCCATATGCGATGGCATCGGGGGCAGTTTCTGTTGTGCATCGTTCACCGCGAGAACGAAAAAGACAAGAGGACCTTGAAGGAATTGCTCAAGGAGCTCTCGTTCCGCAGTACCTGCGCACAGGGTGTCGTAGCTTGCCGGCCATCACGTCCAGCAGATTTGATTGTGTGTTTGGCGATTGTGCCGCATGAGTTCGTTGCGAGGCATCGTGTGCCTTGCATCTGTCGTGGAATTGAGGGGAGCCCTGATCGACAATGAAGGGAATAAGAGATGCACCGCGTTACAACGGGCACGTCAGATAAGAGATCGACCTGCCGGCAGGTGCCCCACGAACATATCTTATCCCACGATGCCCCCGAGGCCCCACAGAAGCTCTAGGCATCCTCGGGCTCGCCAAGATCGACGAAAACTGCGCCCCAAGATCTCTTACAGCAAGGTTTCTTATCTTATGCGTCTGCTACGCCAGCAAAGCAACCTGGCACACGCCGCCTGTCAGAACCAGGGCGAGGAGGAGGAGGAGGAGGAGGAGGAGGAAAAGGAGGAGGAGGAGGATCCGGAGCACATTGGAGGGGAGAGCGAAGGAGAAGAACCAGAGCGAGGGAGAGGCGAAGGGTGAGGAGTAGCAGCAGGAGGGCACTGGCGCAGGAGGAGGGAAAGGAGGAGAGCGAGGGGGAGGTGGGAGGAGGGGAGCAGGAGGAGGAGGAGGAGGAGGAGGAGGAGGAGGGTGAGGGGGAGGAGGACGAGGAGGAGGAAGAGGAGGAGGAGGAGGCAGGAGGATAATGACAAGGAGGAGGAGGAGGAGGAGGAGGAGGAGGAGGGAGGAGGAGAGGAGGGGGAGGGGATCGATAACGCCATGCCCCCTATCGCCCCCCCCCCCCTGAGACCTTGTGGAGCCGAGGGAGGGGTGCCGGGGGCAAGGGGTTCGTTCTCCCGGAAGATGGTTCGTTCTGTGGGAAAAGTGTTCGTTCTTTGTGACAAGTGTTCGCTCTCCTGGTGCAAGTGAGGCAGTGTGCAGAATTCCCAGCGCTGTGCCGAGAGAGCGCTTTGCTTGGATGAGACGTCATCAGGGATCTTGCTGACCCGGTCGAAGGCCAACTTCCTGAACGTCAATGCGAACTCTTAGGGTTTCAACATGAGTTTCGCGCGAAGACACTCCAAGCTACCCAGGTTTGTGAAGAAGAGTTGATACGGGCACAGTCAACGCTAGTGGACCGAGTGGGCGCGCGGCAATTGGTGCCCATGCTTCTTCACCACACCCCAACGCCCTGTTGACTTTCTCCACGCGTCACAGAAGATTATTTTGTAGCAGTCGCACGTGTAAGAACAAGAACATCGGCATGACGAACGACATTAAGGCAGCGGCGGCACCAGTTGGTTTAGTGAGTGGTTGCAGCTGTTAAGCGGTAGTCGTAGCAGTAGGACTAGCACACGTAATAGCCGCCGTTGTAATAGAAGGTGGGATGGTAAATTTAAGATGGACACTATGTCTGTTAGTTTGTTTCGTAGTCACAGCATTAAACCTGGGAGTAGCACCAGGTGATATGGCATGTGGTATGACATGTTCAACAGTTGTTGTGCTAGCGGTTCACGGTTTAATAGTGGTACGGAGTAGGTCGTCTGTGCCGTAGCATGTCGCATGGAATAAAATCAGCAAGTCTTTAGTTTGGGCCCCCCCTTTTTTCACCCGGCGGTGAATCGAATTGGTCCTAAAATGTCTTCCTCCTCCTCCCCCCGCTCTCGCTCCTCCTCCTCCTCTTCCACCCCCTCCTCCTCCTCTCCCTCCTCACGAGGAGGCATCGGTACTGTTACGCTATATAATTGCAATTACTAAGTTGGTCGTTACTACTGTTATTACTACACGTGCTAATACCACAATTACTATGACGCCTAAGAAGGAGGGGGGGGAGGAGGGGAAGGGGGGAGGAGGCTACTGATGACGGGTACTACTACAACTACTAGTAGGACTACCACTAGTCGTAATAGTAGTAGTAGTAGTAGTAGTAGTAGTAGTAGTAGTAGTAGTAGTAGTAGTAGTAGTAGTCGCAGTAGCAGTAGTAATCGCATTACTAGTACTCGTACTACTATTACTATTACCACCGCCACCACCACCACCACTACTACTACTACTACTACTACTACTACTACTACTACTACTACGACTACTACTACTACTAGTAGTACTAGTACTACTACAACTACTACTACTACTACTACTGCTACGACTACGACGACTACGACGACGACTACTACTACTACTACTACTTCTACCACTACTGCTCCCAGCAGTAGTACTGGTACTAGTACTAGTGCTAGTACGAGTACTACTACTACTACGACTGCTACTACTACTATTACTACTACTACTACTACTACTACTACTACTACGGCTACTACTACCACTACTACGACTTCGCCTGTGACTACAATTGCTACTACTACTACTGCTACTACTACTACTAGTACTACTGCTACTACTACTACTACTACTAGTACTACTGCGACGACTACTACTACCACTACGACGACTACTACTACTACTACTACTACTACTACTACTACTACTACTACCACTACCAGTACTACTACTAGGGTTGGCCGCTTTCTCTTTGCGCAACGTATTCGGTGTAATGGATGAGGGGAGGGTGGTGGAGGTTCTGTGCGGCGGACGCGCGGTCACACTACATCATACGAAACCATATAACGAACACATATAACCCATTTGCAAAACATACCCAACCATATATAGCACAGACGCACCGCTTGTACACTGCATGCGCAACCGCGCATACTACATGCATACTATATATGCACGAGTGTGTACAACGCACATACAAGCACGTACAAACCAAATTCAAAACACGTATACAAACCGTACATGTCACATATACAAACAAACACCAATCGCATGTACCACGTGTACATTTAATGCAGACACATATGCGGTGCGCGTATTTTTCTTACAAGCCGTACCCCAACGACCTGCAAAACCCATACACACATATACAACACGTGTACAACACATCCACCAAACATATAACACACATATACAAACCGCTTATACGAACCATGTGCAACCACACATGCAATCCATTCGCGTAACACATAGAAATACTATACAGCGCGTCTACACAACATGTACAACACTTGTGCAGCACAGGCTTGAATCATACGCAACCCAAGTGCAAAACGTATACAATGCACACACGACATGTACAACACGCGCACAGCTCATATACCAACCACACGCACAACGCATGCGCCCCATATACAAAACAGATGCACGCCGCTTGCACACAACATGCACATCATATACAACATGTACGCAACGCACATTCACAAGACAAGCCAATACTGTGCAACACCCATACAGCACCCATCAACACCTAAACGACACATACACAAAACGTATGCAACACATATACAAACCATAAGAATCACCTGCATAACACGTGTACACAACATATGCGATACATCTACACAACACTTGTACACAATGTAAGCACAGCGCCTGGGAGCGCGCCTGGGAACGCTCGGGAGCGCGCCTGGGGGCGCTTGGGAACGGCTTGGAGTGCGCTTGTGAGTGCCCGGGGGCGCCTGGGAACGCCTGGGGGGGCGCCTGGGCGCGCGCCTGTGGGCGCACCTGAGAGCGCCTGGGAACGCCTGAGACCGTGGGGAAGCGCGCGGAAGCGCCTGCGAGCGCCTGGGAGTGCGCTTGGGAGCGCCTGGGAACGCCTGGGGGAGCGCCTGGGAGCGCGCCTGGGAACGCCAAAGAACGACTGGGAGCGCCTGGGAACACATAAGGCCTCAGGTGTCTTCAGAACTTCTTTGGTTATCTGCGGTTTCCTGAAGGTCCCCCATGTGTCCTCATGATTAATTTGGATTCCGCGGGGTTCCCTGGATTCCCCGGGGCCCCCACGAGTTCTTCAGGGTTCCTGAACATCCCGCAAACATCTTCCCGACTCCACAGGAATTCCATTGGATTCCCGAGGGCTCCCTGCGCAAGCAGAGTGCCGTCAACCCTGTCAACCCTACGATTACTTCAATTACGAGTATTATTCGATGTCTCATGATCACCCGTTATTCCAGGCGTGTCCCTTGAGCACCCCAAGGGGGAGACGCCAGGAGGTACATCTTCGAGATCCGCTTTCCCTCCACAGGGAGCGGGAAGATGGAAGCGGGGGGGAGGGGCAGGTGGAGGAGGGGGGAGGGGAAGGACATAGGGGGAGGAGGGAAAGATCAGAGGGAAGGATAAGGGGGAGGAGGGGGGGAGGGATGAGGAGGGAGGGAGGAGGGGGGGAAGGACAAGGGGGAGGAAACGCGGAGGGAGGGCATGAGGCGCGAAAGGGGCCCTGGAAGAGCAGCGAGGGAAGTATCTGGACGAAGGGGAGGAGGGAGGAGAGGGAAGGGGAGCAACCATAGACGGGCGAGGATCCCCGAGAGTTCTGTAACCATGTCTTCAACGAGAAGGTCATGCGACTGCTTCTCTCGGAGGACTATATACACCACGAGTGGAAGAGGATTGCCGCCCTCCTCCTCATCCTTCTCCTCCTCCTCCTCCTCCTCATCATCCTCATGCTCTCATCCTCCTTCCCTTCTGCTCCTTTCACCCCCCCCCCCACCACCTTCTCACACACTCCTCCTCTTCCACGTTCCCCCTCCTCCGTCGCCTTCCTCATTTATTTGTTCCGCCTCCTCATGCTACTTTGCCTCCTTCCACCATGAGCGACGGAAGGTCACGAGTACTTGTGACTTCGTCAGAAGGCAGGGGTGCTTCCTCCTCCTCCTCCTCCTCCTCCTCTTCCTCCTCCCCCTCCTCCAGCACCTGATCACCGTGGCCACTTCCGCACCTCCCTTCGCTCCCGCACTGTGCTCCTTCCTCAGACCTCCTCGCGTCGTGAAGCAAAAACATGCACGACGGAAGGTGTTTTTCGCTATTTTCGGCCGCTCGGGGCCCTTACTGGGCCCCGGGAGCGTCAAACCACGACTCAGGATGAGAAACCGGTCCCAGGAAGGGGTCCGCACCTCCAGGGGTCGTGTGAAAAAATCACGAGGTCGGGGGTTCTGGGTCTGCACCTCCCTTCGCTCCCGCACCGTGCTCCGTCCGTTGTCGCGGCCAGTTGCAGGAAGATGGCCGGATCCGGGTCGGGCGACGAGTACTACAAGTTGTTGGCCTCTTTGCTCACGTCCGAGCACGTGGGCATCAGTTTGAGGACTCTGATTTGCAGGAGGGGTTGGAAGCATCGCCCGGTTTAGGCACGTGTGGTGCAGATCTTCCTCACACTCTCGGAGAACCTTTAGCTCGCTTGGTACATGTCTTCCCTTGTCCTAGCATTAAGTCGAGCATGTCCCTCTACTACAGGAGGGATATTCAAACATAAAACATAGCCAACACATAGTCTGGGGAGGATTTGTCTACCATGTTTGATGTTTTGTGGGGTACCGTTTCTGACTGTGTTTCATGCTTCTTCCAAAATCGGCCTGTAGGGGGACATGCCCGACCTCAGCCTAGCAATGCCAGGACGTCCAGGATGCATCGCCCCAGGGCGTCCCGGAGCGCTCCCCCAGCGCGCCCTCGGGAGCTCTCCGAGGCGGCCGCGGGCGCCCGGTACATCCTCCAGGCCCCCCCAGGACCGCAGAGATCCCCAGTGTACAACTACTGATCCCAGTCCCAGTTGGTCCTCTTCGCTCGGCGCTTGGCCTCTTCGCTCGGCGCTTGGCGCCGGCTGCTTTTCGGGCGATGGCGGCTGTGATCGGCCCTCTCCCGCCCTCCCCCCCCCCCACCAGGTCACGCCACGGCGTTCTGCCCACGCCTTTGTGAATGTGCCCTACGTCGCAGGCCTAGAGGTTGACACCAACACCAATATCGGCGGTGTGCCTCCGCCGAGGGAAGAAGATCCCGGTCTCGGTGGTGGTGGTAATATTCTGGCTTCCAAGGTGACCGAAAAATATTGCCACCAACGCCGAAATCTAGGATCATATACCCCATGTGGATGCATACCCCCTGTGTTGGTGTTGGTGCCCATTTCTAGGCCTCCAACTACGGGTTCTGCAGGGATGTTCTAAGATCACCAGCGGCCCCCCCACGCCGTGGTGTGACCGCGGGGGACGGACTCCCTCCCCCCCCCTCCCCCGATCACGCCAGTCACGGTGGGGGCGTTCGTAAGGGAACGTGCCCAGGAGGCTTCAAACCCTGGAGGGTTCCTTAGCTGATGAGGGCGGCGGCGATATCCATGGCAGATCCACGATTTGGAGTTCCACCGGCCTCCAGACCCTGGATTCCTTATCTAAGGGTTCCCTATCCAGTGCCCCCACCGTCCGTAGCCATTTTGGCTCAGCCGATCCCATTTGCGCGCTCTCGTTTTGGGCCCCGCGGGTGGCCGCAGAGATCGACTGCTTGGGGGATGGCTGCGGGCGGCGGCCGAGCTGCCTGTACGGCAGCCGAGCCGCCTCAGCACGGCGGGGCTGCGGCTTCGCTCTGGCCTGCGCGACGTGCCCGACGGGCCGCGGCGCGTGAGGCCGACCAGGGCAAGCTGCGGGCGGCGCTGGGGCGCGTCGCAGTCCTCGAGGCGGAACTCGCGGCTCTGCGGGTCGCCCACGAGGCGGCGGCGGCCCAGGCGCTGGCGCTGGCGGCCCAAGGCTCAGCCCAGCTTCCCAGCGAGGCGCTCCACCGCGAGGTCTCCGAGAGGCTGGCGCTGGCGGTCCCCGTCCTCCTGGAGGTGCTGGCAGGCCGGCAGCGTGCGGCGGCCGACACCTCTTCGGCCCCTCGGCCGCCTCCTGGGCCTTTGCGGCTTGCGGGAGCGGGCGAAGGAGAGCAGGGGAGCGGGCAGGCAGCAGCGGCCGCCAGCGCTCACCGAGTCGACGGCGCCCAGAGCATGCCCCTCAGCGGCGTGCTACAGGGTGCAGGCGACGGTGCTGGCACGGCCGCGGGCGAGCCTACCCAGGCTCAGGCAGGCGAGCGGGGGGGCGGCGGCAGCCGTGCGGTGGCTGGTGTGGGTCCGCTGCACCGTTCTCGGCGCAACGCTGGGCTCCACTGCGCAGCAAGGAGGGCCGCTAGCATTTCGGTGATGCGGCCCTCCCTCAATCGCCTGCAGAGGTCTGCGAAGGCGGGGCGGGTACACCTCGGAGGGCAAGCTCGGCACGGTCGCGTCCGCGGCGTTGGTGTTCGCGCACGGGCTGCTCTTCCTCTACCTCGCTCTGCTGGTGCAGCCTCCCATGTGCGGCAGCGGTCGGAGGAGCGTCGCCCCCCTCTCCGAGGCGGCGCTCCTGCCCCGCCGCGCCGCCAGCCAGAGGCGCGTGCCGCCTGCGAGGCGGCCCCGAGCGATTGGACGGTCGCTCGGGCCTACCGCGGGCGCAGCGCGCCGCCTGGCGCCATCCTCGCGCTGGCCGAGCGCGCGAGGAGCGGCCTCGCCCTTGGCCTCGGGCCCGCGCTGGTGGAAGTGGAGCGTCGAGGACAGCGACGTAGTCGGCGTCGGCGGCGCCTCGCACGGCACCCACTTCGACAGCAAGGAGGCGCAGAAGGCTCCCGTGGCGGCGGCGCCCATGGGGCTCGACAAGCACAGGCCTGAGAGCAGCGGCGGCTTCGGCGAGCACCCTGCCCCTCGGCCTTCTGAAGGTGGTGCTGGTCATCCTCATCGCCTCCCTGATCCTGGTGCGGCGTGCAGCACTGCCTGCACCTCCTCTCCTGCTGCTTTCGCGGACCCCTCGATCGTCACGGCGTACGTGCTGGCCAACGAGGCTGCCGTCCTCAGCGGTGGCAGCGAGATGGCCGCTGGCGACATCGACGGCGAGCTCAGCATGCAGGTGGACGGCTCCCGCAACCAGGACGGAAACAGTGCTCTGGCCTCGGATGCCGTGGCGCACTGCGGCTTCGACCTCTCCCCGCACTTCGGCACGGACGACGGCGTGGAGGCGGCTGGGCCCCAGCGCAACGGCGGCAGGAGCCTGGACGACGACGCCCTCCTCACTTCGCCTCCCTCGGGTTCCTGCTCCTGCTCTGGCGGCGGGGGGATCGTGGTGGAGGACGGCGAGGGCGGCGTCGGTGGCGGCTGTACGCTCCACGGCTCGGAGACGGTGGCGCGCCAGGAGCCCGCGCGTGGGCCCAAGCGGCTATTGGCGCTGCGCCGCCACGTCTTCGAGGGAACCGTGGCCCTCACGGTCGACCGTGACATTCGGAGGCCGGGCTGGCAGGGCGACGGCGGCGACGACGCTCCTCCAGCTCCCTCAGCCTCCGAGCTAGAAGCTGGGCGCCTCTGGCTCCGCGACACGTTCGGGCCTGGCTCCCCGTGGAGGGCGTGGGCCAGGCAGGAGCGGCAGCGGAGGCGCGAGGCGCAGCTCCAGCAGTAGGCGGCGGACCGCTTTCTCTTTGCGAGCGTGGAGCCCCCAGAGAGGCGGGAACGGGCACCCGCCCCGCCTGCCCCAGGGAGGCTGTTTCGCCCAGGGCTCGAGGGAGCCCTGTGCCCCTTCGGCTTTGCCAGCGCTGCTGAAGCTCAGGAGCGAGGCAGGGCCGCCAGAGCGGCCAGGTCTGTGGACCCCAGGCCTGAAGTCGGCCTCAGCGCGGTGTGATGGTGCCGCGCTTCGGGGTCTGGTCCTGGCGGGCTGCGGGCTCGCGCAAGCGCTGTTTGCGGGGCCGTAAGACGGCATCTGAATTTGTCTGTGCATGATAAGCCCCAGGGTGATAGGATTAAAAAAATGCCCCCACCGTATCGCGAATTATAAACACAGATTCTTACGGGGAGGCAGGGAACACGTGTGCGGGCCAGGCCCAGCGCATGTTTCCGGAACTATCGCTTTCGCCGGGCTGCGCCGCATTTTAAAAAGGGGTAGCGCAAACCTTCGGAGGAACCATCCGCTTGTGTTTCACTCCCCAGGGCCCACTCGTTGCGGCGAGCTGTGCCTTCCATCCTTCCGCCCTGCCGCCCTTCCTGCCTGCCTGCTCCCCCCCGCCGCCCCCTCCCCCCCCACTCTTCCCCGTCCCTTCCTTCCTTCCTGCCTTCCCCCCCTCCCTCCCTCCCTCCCTCCCTCCCTCCCTCCCTCCTCGTCGTTCCCCGTCTCGCACCCTCCTCCCCCTCCGCCCCTTCCCTCCTGCCTCCCTTCCCTCCCCCCTTCCCCCCCCCCCTCGCCCCCCCCTTGCCGAGGAGCTTCTCGCCTCCTCCCCCTCCCCCCTCGCCCCCCCCTTGCCGAGGAGCTTCTCGCCTCCTCCCCCGCCCCTCTGCCCGAGGAAGAGGGAGGAACAAAAAGGGGGGAGGGAGGCGCAGGGCGCGCTCCGAGGCGAGAGGCGCCTTGGCCTCCCTGCGCCCCCCCGCCTGCTTTTCGAGGAGCTCCTCGCCGCCTCCCGCCAGACGCAGCCATCACTTCGACAGGGTTAATTTCGACGCCGCCGATTCGATTCGATTCGATTTCGACGGCTTCCGATTTCGATTCGGTTCGATTTGGGATTCCGATTCGGGTTCCGATTTCTTACTGGAGGCATACCAGCCTGCCGATTTCCGCCGATTCGACTTTTTCCGACTCGGCTGCCGATTTCCGCCGATCCGATTCATTTCGATCGCCGATCCGACTTTTCGATTCGATTCTGGGCTCTCCTGCTTCGAGGGCGGACAGGACCCCCGCCCTGACACGTCGAATCGTGAACATTGTCCGCTGTCGGCTCTCCGGGGGAGCGCCGCGGCCTTCGTGTTTCCCAGGCCTGCGCGCCAGGTCTGGGCCCGAGGCTGCTGCCGTCAGGCCACGTTTTGCCAAAGGGGGCTCTGTCCATCGCCGAGGCACGGTGCTGCCGCGCCCCGTCGCCTCGGTGCCGCGGCGCCTTGCTCCGAAACCTTGGGCGTCGTCGTCGCGGGGGGCGGGCTGCCCTCTACGCCCTGGCCAGCGGGGAGCGGCGGGTTGGGCGGGCATCGGCCTTGCGGGGGCGTCGTTGGACCGATGCTGGCCGTGTCAGCCTGGGTCCGCCGTGCCGTGCCTTGATCCAGCCCCGACGCGATGGTAGAACGATTGCCCTCCTGCTCTCTCCCCCCCTTTCCAGGCCTTCTCTACCTACCTCAGGCTGCAAACCTCGAGCTGCCAGCAGTGGGTACCTCACCGCTGTCGCGGCCACGCTTGCTCGCACGCTTCGTCATACGGTCAGTTAGAGTTTCGAGGGGACCAAGAACACGAAGGGCACAGTCGAATTGCCAGCCGCACTCCTGCATACCCACTCGAGCACTTCGTTGCCGACAGAGATCAGCTCGACAGCATTCAGCGGCCCGTCGAGAAGAGCAAGCTCGCCATCGGCAGTGTTTTCCCAACCATCCTGTGGTGTTGGGTCCTCGTTTTGAAGTGACAGCGCCCCGCGTTCCTTCCTTCCGTCCTTCCTCTCCTCCTCCTCCCCCCTCCTCCCCACCCCCCCTCCTCCTTCCTCCCCCTCCTTGCTTCTGCTCTCCGCATCCTCCACCATCCCTACTCATATCCCTGCCTCTGCCCTCGGCACTTCCTCGTTGCCATAAGCAACCTCATCATCACCATCATCACCATCATCATGATCACCATCATCATCGTCATCATCATCATCATCAGCAGCAGCAGCATCGTCAGCATCATCATAAGCGACGTCATCATCACCATCATCGTCAACCTTATCACCATCATCATGCAAGGGGGCGGGGGTGCCCGCATGCAGTTCCCCCACCCAGGGCAACGCTTCGTGGCCCCATAGGGAGCTCCACCGAAGGCCCCAGTGGGGGTGCCCGCATGCGGTTCCCCCACCCAGGGCAGCGCTTCGTGGCCCCATAAGGAGCCCTTCCGAAGGCCCCAGTGGGGGTGCCCGCATGCGGTTCCCCCACGCAGGGCGGCGTTTCGTAGCCCCACAGGGAGCTCCACCGCAGGCCCCAGAGGGGGTGCCCGCATGCGGTTCCCCCACCCAGGGCAGCGTTTCGTGGCCCCACACGGAGCTCCACCGAAGGCCCCAGTGGGGGTGCCCGCATGCGGTTCCCCCACCCAGGGCAGCGCTTCGTGGCCCCACACGGAGCTCCACCGAAGGCCACAGTGGGGGTGCCCGCATGCGGTTCCCCTGCCTAGGGCAGCGCTTCGTGGCCCCATAGGGAGCTCCACCGAAGGCCCCAGTGGGGGTGCCCGCATGCAGTTCCCCCACCCAGGGCAACGTTTCGTGGCCCCACAGGGAGCTCCACCGCAGGCCCCAGTGGGGGTGCCCGCAGGCAGTTCCCCCACCCAGGGCAGCGTTTCGTGGCCCCACACGGAGCTCCACCGAAGGCCCCAGTGGGGGTGCCCGCATGTGGTTCCCCCACCAGGGCAAGGTTTCGTGGCCCCACAGGGAGCTCCATCGAAGGCCCCAGTGGGGGTGCCCGCATGCGGTTCCCCCACCCAGGGCAGCGCTTCGTGGCCCCATAGGGAGCTCCACCGCAGGCCTCAGCGGGGGTGCCCGCATGCGGTTCCCCACCACCACCACTGTGGCAGGCCCCTCACACAGTTCGTGGCCCCATAAGGAGCTCCACCGAGGACGATACTCACAACTGCGGTACTCACAACTGCATCACATGGTTGGGTCCTTCGCCAGGCTAATTTTTCACAAGCTCGGGGAGGGTGCCCCGTGGCTAGGTCAGAGGGGAAAGCGGCAGGAGAGCTCGCCAGGCGTACACACCACCACATTGCGGATGCGGCCAGTGCAGCAGGGCGCCCCGTTGCCCTGACTACTGGCGAGGAGACTGACAGATCCCAGCAAGGCGTCAACTAGCGATCGGAGCCCTCTGTCGCGCAGCCTCCGGTCCTTGCCGCGGACGCCAAGACGGACGAGCAGAAATTGAACGACGCAGAGACGAACACCAAGAGTGAGTCGCACCATTCGATGAGTGAGGACATCGTGTCGACTGCCACGGATTGTTCGACGCCTGTTTTGCCCCAGAAGGGCGCCAAGTCCCAGAACACGACAGACGCGATTGGCTCACGCGGAAAATTGATGTGATCATGATTGAAGCGCGACTCCAGCATTGTAGCATTGTGGATCATTGAACGCTTGTGGTGCGTCGCCAGCGCAAGGACGCCATGGGCAAACGCGCTTTCTTGGCAACGCTGCACGCCATGACGGATAAGAGCGCCAAGTTGCCCATTGCGATGGGCAAGTGCAGCAGAACCAACATCGATGGACGCATGCGGCGTGTGACGGCCGCATTGCCGACCCCGTGTGTGATGCCACATCGCGGCATCCAGCTATGCACACAGGTCCTTTGGAAGATGGTGATGTTGCTTACTTCTCCAGCGGGAAGTGGAACAGCTACTGATCTGCCGTTTGCTTCTGAGTCCTCGACGCGACCAGTTTGCAACAAGACGTGTACCCCCTTCGACCTTCCCCCTCCTCCTCCTCCTCCTCCTCCTCCTCCTCATCATCCTCCTCCTCCTCCTCCTCCTCCCTCCTCCTCCCTCCACCCTGCCGCAAGGAGAAGGGCACGGGTGGCGATCTCTCTCCTGCTCCTCCTCCTCCTCCTCCTCCTCCTCCTCCTCCTCCTCCTCCTCCTCCTCCTCCTCCTCCTCCTCCTCCTCCCCCTCCGACCTCGTCCTCCTTACGCGGGGTGTCTTCTATCAGCCTGAAGCGTTCTGGCCCCCGCCGTGCTCGAGTGGTCATCAGGAGATTCGACCAGATGGGTATCCAGAAGGGGCGTCTGGGGACTTGCATCGGAGCTTATTTGTTGATGGCTCTGTCTTGAAACGTCCGAGTGCAGACCTCGGGAGAGCTGGCCGGAGTGGGTGCCAGGTTGCTGAGGACAGCAGGCCTTGAGCACTGTTCTCGGCCCTGTGCGCCACCCGCTGCCTCAATCGGCCCCTGCACGAATGTTCTGCTCGGGATGTGTGCGTTGCAGCCCGTAGGGCCTGGCCATGTGTGCTCAGATTGTCTGGCTGTGGTTAGCCACCACAGCTTGCCTCCGTCGCAGCGCTTTTCCTTCAGGCGTAAGCACGCATGACTTTTTGTATGCGGATTCAGTGCCGCATCTGCAGTCACGTACCAAGGTGCGTGCGCACCGTTCAGCTGATGATCCAGAGTTGTCGGCTGAGGAAGTGTTCAAACGAACAAGGAACGACCATGCCGACAAAGCCGCCGGAGCGGCTGCTTTGTTACACCCGCGGGCATCGAAGGAAGAAGACGACGTTGTAGATAAGTTCGTCAGTATCTCCAAAGAGGTGTGCAGATTTGCGGCCTTGCCCAAGTGGCCATGTTTCGACTTCTCTGGGGGCGATGTATCTCCTCCGCCGCCTGCCCCGAGACTTGTTCGTTCAGTTGTAGAGCACGCATTTCAATGTGTCGGCAATGTGCAGCGATGCTCTCTGTGTCGCCGCAGGCCCAGGTCCGCCGTGGAACCGGGTCCTGGGAGATGTTTAGGGCAGTGCCAAATTGACGTGGGCTCGGCCGAAAGTAAAGGGCACAAGGTCCGACTGCTTTCTGTGCTTGCGCTGCGGTTGCGGGTCCTTTTTGCGCCACGGAGTATGGGTGAAAAGCAACTCTGCTTACCAGTGCCAAGGGCTCAGTCGACATGGTCGGACCAACATGCATAGGCTCATGGCGGGTCAGTTCCCCTGGGGCACGGCGTCGAAGATCGCTGGCTCACCCGTGGTGCCGTCTCTTGCTCCTGGCCTAGATCGATCCCCGTGCCCGCTTCGAGGCTGCTGCATGTCCGTCCGGCCCAGACCCAGCCACGACCCTGCGCAGTGTGTCTACAATCCGCCCAGATTAGTAGGCCGACCCTGCCAAGTCAAGGGTACCCTTGTGTCCTGTGCCTCGCGACCCATGCTTCCGACATTCTGGTGGCAATGTGGCCCTCGGAAGTGTCTTGTGTCCTCTCGCGTGTCTTGCCCAATGGAGTCCGACTGTATGGCGCTGCGGCTAGAAGCGGCGGCGCCGAGCGCGCCTCCCGCCGCGCTGGGCGCTGCTGGCGTCGTGGAGGGATGGGTCACAAGTGAGCTGCTGTCCGCACATTGGCTGAGCCGGCTCGTCTCGCCTCGCAGCGGTCCGAGCGCTGGGTGGCGAAGGCAGAGGGCGACGCAGACCTCGAACGCCACCCCAGAGCTCGAAATCCCTTAACAATCGACCCCATAATCGACCCCACGTGTCGCTCGGACGTGTGCACTTTTTCTCGGCGGGGATTACTCAGGAGAGTCCTGGATCATCCTGCGAAAAAAACCACGCACGAAACCAAAGAAAACACATGGAATTGACGTCCGAGCGATGGCCAGTAAAAAGCCGGGCCCCCCTTCAACGGCAACCTAATTTTCCGGCACCCCTTGTCAACGGGGGGCCTCAATATTCTGGACCCCTCTCGTCTCTGGTTTAGGAAGAGCGCCTTAATATACCGGACCCCCCCGCTTCCAAAAAGAGCGTCTCCAAAATCATCATGGCGAGGGACCCAACCATGTGCAGTTGTGAGTGACGCAGTTGTGGGTATCGACCTCGGTGAACCTCTCTGGGGTCGCGACGCGTGTGACGGGTGTGCCAAAATTGGCACAGGTACGCCATGCGGACGCTGCCACCAGAGCCGTCGGTGGAGCACCCTATGGGGCCGCGGAACGTGCAAGGGGTGCGCCGAAATGGGGGGTGGAACTGCCTATCGGGCCACGAAACTTGTGAGGGGTGTGCCGAAATGGGGGGGTGGAACCGCATGCGAACGCAGCACTGTGGCCTTCGGTGGAGCTCCCTATAGGGCCACGAAACGTGTGAGAGGTGTGCCGAAATAGAGGTGGAACCGCATGCGGGCGCTGCCGCTGGGGCCTTCGGTGGAGCACCCTATGGGGCCACGAAACGTTCGAGAGGGGTGCGCCAAAATTGAGGTGGAACTGCATGCGGACCTGCCGATGGGGCCTTCGGCGGAGCACCCTATAGGGCCACAAAACGTGTGAGGGGTGCGCCGAAATGGGGGTGGAACTGCATGCGGACCCTGCCACTGGGGCTTTCGGCGGAGCACCCTGTGGGCCCACGAAACGTGTGAGAGGTGCGCCGAAGTGGAAGTGGAACTGCATGCGGACACTGCAACTGGGGCCTTCGGGTGGAGCACCCTATGGGGCCACGAAACGTCCCAGGGGTGTGCCGAAATGGGGGTGGAACTGCATGCGGACCCTGCCACAGGGGGCCTTCGGTGGAGCTCCCTATAGGGCCACGAAACGTGTGAGAGGTGTGCCGAAATGGGAGTGGAACTGCATGCGGACCCTGCTACTGGGGCCTTCGGCGGAGCACCCTATGGGGCCACGAAACGTGTGAGAGGTGCGCCGAAATGGGGGTGGAACTGCATGCGGACCCTACCACTGGTGCCTTCGGCGGAGCACCCTATGGGGCCACGAAACGTCCCAGGGGTGCGCCGAAATGGGGGTGGAACTGCATGCGGACACTGCAACTGGGGCCTTCGGCGGAGCACCCTATGGGGCCACGAAACGTCCCAGGTGTGCGCCGAAATGGAGGTGCAACTGCATGCGGACCCCGCCACTGGGGCCTTCGGCGGAGCACCCTATAGGGCCACGAAACGTGTGAGGGGTGCGCCGAAATGGAGGTGGAACTGTATGCGGACCCTGCAACTGGGGCCTTCGGTGGAGCACCCCATGGGCCACGAAACGTGTGAGGGGTGTGCCAAAATTGAGGTGGAACTGCATGCGGACCTGCCACTGGGGCCTGGGTGGAGCACCCTATGGAGGCCACGAAACGTGTGAGAGGTGCGCCGAAATGGAGGTGGAACTGCATGCGGACCCTGCCACTGGGGCCTTCGGCGGAGCACCCTATGGGGCCACGAAACGCTGTACTAGGTGGGTGAAACGCAGGGAGGAGGGAGAAGGGGGAGGAGGGAGGGGGCAGCGGGAGGAGGAGGAAAGCGGGGCGCTGTCTCTTCAAAACGAGGACCTGAGAGGAGGGGGAGGAGGAGGAAGGAGGAGGAGGAGTGAACGCGGGGCGCTGTCTCTTCAAAACGAGGACCCAACACCACAGGATGGTTGGGAAAAACCTGACCCAGGGGACGACTACTAAGGGATTTCGGCGGAAGTGGCAGAGGGCGAAAGAGAGCTCGAGCGCCACCCCGGAGAACAGCCACAAACCTCATGGAAGAGGCGCCGTCCTCCTTGTTGTAACGCGTGGCATGTGCGTGGATGTTCAAACAAAACCTCCCCCTCTCCTCCTGCCCATCTTCCTCTCACCCACCCCCCCGGCCCCGCATCAGTTGCAGCCGGATCTCTCCCGCATCCCGATGCACTTGTGACCAGTGCCTCTCCTTCTCTTGGCCTGCTCGTCCTCGTCCTCTTCCCTTCATCTCGTCGTCTTCCTGCTCCTCCTCCTCCCCCCGCTTCTTGTCTCCTCGTCCTCCTCTCTCCTACTCGTTCTTGCGTCTTTGCCTTCCCCCCCCTCTCCTCCTTCTCCTTCCCCATCGTGCCTCTTCTCCCTCATTATGTTCCTGTCGGTCCTCCATGGCACCCCACGATCTTTCCTCCTCTTATTACTCCAGCTCTTTCTCTTTCTCTTTCTCTCGTTCCTTCTCTCTCTCTCTCCCTCTTTCTGTTCTCTGTCTCTGTCTCTCTCTCTCTCTCTCTTTCTCGCCTCTCGTCTGGCCATGGCGTGGGAGGCAGATCCTAGAGAAGACCAACCAGAGAACGGACGCGGACGGCAAGCTGCTCGGCAGGGACTCGCAGTTGGTCGAGGTCATGGTGCCTGCCCTCGTCCAGGCGAGCGTCGGGTGCTGGAAAAAAGTCGGTGGGCAGGAGGACCTGGGATGAGGATTGGGATTAAGTCGGGCCTGTCCCTCTACAGGAGGAATGTTCAAACATAGTAAGAAAATAATATGGGGGCGATGTTTTTAGTATGCTTGGGCATGTTTGGAATATGTGTTGACTATTTTCATCTTTCGCCAAAATCCGCCTGCAGTGGGACATGCCCGACCTGAAGATGGGGAGGAATGACGTAGGAGAGGGGATGCTGAATGGAGAAAGGCCGAGGACAGGGAGGAGGGGAGGAGGGGTCATGACGCGAGGGAGGAGGAGGATGAGGCGGGTCCGGGGAAGCGGGGGAGCAGGAGGCTGGAAGGAGGCGGGGGAGGCGGAGGAGGGAGAAGGGAGGGATACGGGATGAAGGGGGAGCGGGAGGGCGGGAGGGCGGGAGGGCAGGAAGACGCGAGGGCGGGATGTTGGGATGACGGGCGGCGGGAAGAAATGGAGGATCGACTCAGTACAAAGCGCGTATATACACAGTGCGTCAGAGCTCGGCGCGGGCCTCGGAGAAGATGTGCTTACGCCGCTGTCTTAGTCCTCTGAGCGAGGGGGAGGAGGAGGGAGACCGCGACGACGGCGACCAGAAGGGCGCACGGGTGCCAGCGGGGACAGCGACTCGCCCAGGATGGCTCCTGCTCTCTTCGCCGTCCCTGTCCTCTTTCCCCCTTCCTCCTCTTCTTCCCGAGGCAGTGGAGCCCCCCTCTGAAGGCCACACAATCCAACAGTCATCACTCTAGTGCCACCATTCGGCACGGGATAGCTCGTTTCAAAACCCCAGGGAGAAAACCATCGGCCATCCTCTCGACAGCCTTCAAACCGTGGGTCCCTGGGGGTTGACAAGGAGCGAGAAACCATGTGAGCTGCCTCGCGCTATGGGTCCCGCACGACTGACAACCGACGACAGGGTGGGCGGCCTCCAGCTGCTTGGGCTCAACCTCGAACATGACGAGCCTGTGCCTCCTCTCGCCTTGCACACTTATCTGGCGATTGGCATCCGCCGCTCTCGCTGCGATCGAACCACCACAGACCGACGAGGCGGGGGCCACGAGCCGACAGATTGTGCACCAGCGTCGAGGGCCATGCCTAGCAAACTCTGCGTGGGGCGTGGGTGCGCAACGCTCAACTGTGCCTCCTCCTCCTCCTCCTCCTCCTCCTCCTCCTCCTCCCTCCTCCTCGTCCTCCTACTTCTGCCTCCCGACCGGCCGCCCTCTCCCTCCTCTCTCCCCGCCCTGCCTCCCTGAGTCCGTGGGACAGCTGCAAGGCTGCTGGCGACGCCGCTCCGTAGCCCGCCCCCGCGAAGCGAAGGTGAAGCGTCGAGGAGGGCAAGGGGGGGGAGCGTCGAGGAGGAGGAGGGGGAGGAGGAGGCGGAGGAGGAGGAGGAGGAGGAGGAGGAGGGGGAGGAGGAGGAGGAGGAGGAGGGCGGTGAGTGTGTGTGTGTGTGTGTGTGTGTGGTGTGTGGTGTGTGGTGTGTGGTGTGTGGTGTGTGTGTGTGTGTGTGTGTGGTGTGTGGTGTGTGGTGTGTGGTGTGTGGTGTGTGGTGTGTGGTGTGTGGTGTGTGGTGTGTGGTGTGTGTGTGTGTGTGTTGTGTGTGTGTGTGTTGTGTGTTGTGTGTTGTGTGTTGTGTGTTGTGTGTTGTGTGTTGTGTGTTGTGTGTTGTGTGTTGTGTGTTGTGTGTTGTGTGTTGTGTGTTGTGTGTTGTGTGTGTGTGGACTTTCCCGGAGGGGATCCCGGCGGGTCGGCTGGAGCGAAGCCGTCGCTTTCTTGCCTGCGCCAGCCCAGGCCCCAGGCATCGACGCAGACGGGCCCGTGCCCTGCCGCTTCGCCGTCTGAGGTGGTCTCCTCCTCCTGTGCCGCCTCCTCCCGTCCTCGTCCTCCTCCTCCTCCTCCTCCTCCTCCTCCTCCCTCCTCCTCCTCCTCCTCCTCCTCCTCCTCCATCCTCCCTCCTCCTCCTCCTCCTCCTCTCCTCCTCCCCCTCCTCCTCCTCCTCCTCCTCCTCCTCCTTCCTCCTCCTCCTCCTCCTCCTCCTCCTCCTCCTCCTCCTCCTCCTCCTCCTCACTCCTCCCCCCTCCTCTCCTCCTCCTCCTCCTCCTCCTCCTCCCCTTCTCCTCCTCCCCCCCCTCCTCCTCCTCCTCCTCCTCCTCCTCCTCCTCCTCCTCCTCCTCCTCCTCCCCCTCCACCTCCTCCTCCTCCTCCTCCTCCTCCTCCTTTTCCTCCTCCTCCTCCTCTTCCTCCCCCTCCCCCTCTCCCTCCCCCGCCTCTTCTGTCCTCGTCCTCCTCCCCCTCTCGGATGCAGCTCCTGGAAGGTTGAAGTCAGCATCGGCGCTGGTTGGTCGGTGGCTGGGAACCAGCCAGGTCCGACACAATCCGGGCTAGTTCCGCCTAGTACAGCCTAATGGGTCTCAACCTCGGCTTTTATCGGATCTCATCCGGCTCAGGAGCTCTTAATAGGGCTGAATATCATTCACCCGTTTCCTAAAAAGGCCGCCCAGGATTTGTTTCCCAATCATCTTTATCATCCTCCCTTTGTTCCTGCCAAGCCCTGCCGCAGGCGATGGGGGGCACCAGCGTGAGCCTCACCTCCTCCCCTCCTCCTCCTCTTCCTCCTCCTGCTCCTGCTCCTGCTCCTGCTCGCGATCCGGACTTTTCCAAGCATTGTGTTCTCGACGTGATACTTGTTGGTGTCGAGATTCCCCCCACCCAAAAATACCTCGGCGAAAGACCCGACGATATGCAGTTGTGAGTAACGCAGTTGTGAGTATAGTCCTCGGTGGAGCTTCGCTCCCTGTGGCGACGAAGCGTGTGATGAGTGTGCCGGCATGGAAGACGTGGTGGGCGGAGAGCCGCATGCGAACTCTGCCAAAAAGGCCGTCGGTGGAGCTCCCTATAGGGCCGCGGAACGTGTGAGGGGTGTGCCGAAATGGACATGCGGTGGGCGGGGGCCCGCATGCGAACGCGGCCCTTGGGGCCTTCTGTGGAGCTCCCTGTGGGGCCACGAAGCGTGTGAGCGGTGTGCCGAAGTGGACGTGCGGTGGGCGGGGAGCCGCATGCGAACCCTGTCACTGTCGCCTTCGGAGCGGCTCCCTATGAGGTGACGAAGCGTGTGAGCGGCGTGCCGAAATGGACATGCGGCGGGAGGGGGGCCGCGTGTAATCTCTGCCACGGGGCCTTCAGTGGAGCTCCCTGTGGGGCTACGAAGCGCGTGAGCGGTGTACCGATATGGACACGCGGTGGGCGGGGCCGCATGCGAGCGCGGCCGTTGGGGCTTCCGGTGGAGCTCCATCTGGGGCCACGATGCGTGTGAGCGGTGTGCCGAAATTGACATGCGGAGGGCAGAGGCAGGGGTCGGAGGAGGGAGGAGCGGGAGGAGAGGAGGAGAGAAAGAGGAGACGCAGGGCGATTTCTTTTCAAAACGGGACCCACCGACAAAGGATGGTTGGGAACAAATGTGTTTCCGCGATGTCCTGCACGCGTACCTCCAGCCGACCCGACGTTCCAAGGACTGCTTCGCATGAGGCCACGGCGTCCTGCGCAGGCTGGTAGCGACCTCGGCCGCCCCCGCCGGCGGGACGTCTCCACGCGTCCGTCCGTCCGTCCATTCGTCCGTCCGTGCGTCGCTCCTCCTCCTCCTCCTCCTCCTCCTCCTCCTCCTCCTCCTCCTCCTCCTCCTCCTTGGAACGCTCGGAAAGAAGTCTCCACACCAGCATGCCAGTGCAAGACCAGGCGTGAGGACTACCCACAACATGGCGCCGGGCAGGAGAGGCAGCCGAGAATTGCAACTGCTGCTCTGCTGCCGGCGCTGCTGCCTTTGCCTTTCTGCCTTGCGCGCCCCCCTGGGCGTCCACTCCTCGCCGAACCCACGGCCGCCGCGGCGCGGCGGGCGCGCCCGCGGCGGGCACACAAGGGCGGACGAGAGCGATGAGGTGGCGGGCCAGCCGAGAGCAAGAGCTGCTGCTGTTCCTCCTCGGTGGGGCGCGCGGCGCGCAAGCCTCGAGCGCCTTGGTCCCCCCCCCCGGCCCGGTTGGCGACCAGGGGGCAGCGGGCCAGCGGGCGGGCCAGCGGCGGACGCGGAAAAGGCAGCATGTTCTTTCTTTGTTTTTTGTTTCTCTCTCTCTCTCTCTTTTCCTTTCTCTCTTTATCCTCACCTACCTGCATACCCCCTGTTCCTCCTCCTCCTCATCCTCCTCATCCTCCTCCTCCTCCTTCTCCTCCTCCTCCTTTCCTCTTCCTCCTCCTCTTTTCCCTCCTGCTCTCCTCCTCCTCCTCCTCCTCCTCATCCTCATCCTCATCCTCCTCCTCCGCCTCCGCCTCCGCCTCCGCCTCCATTGGGCACGCTCCACCTCTTCCTCCTCCTCCTCCTTCTCCTCCTCCTTCTCCGCCGCCTCTCCTTCCCTTCCGAGCCCCGCCGCAGGCGATGAAGGGCACCAACGTGAGCCTCACGTCCTGCGCCACGGCTGCGCTCGTCAACCTGTCGTGCGGGGACGCTGCCACGAAGACGATGCTGGAGCCGAGGGGGGGGGCATCGTCCTCTCCTAGTTCGAAGATCCCTTTGGGTCAGCACCGAAGGCGAGCGTCATCGCGGTCGAAAGCTGGCGGGACACATGGAGAAGAAGAGGGTAGCCGCAGAAGGGGGAACGTTGGGGCGGAGGCTTCAGGCGTAGAGAGTCCACAGAACGAGGAACACGCGGGCGGCCCCGGGCTCCGAAAGCTGGTGTACTGAGAGGTGTGCGGTCAGTTCCGGCTGCCAAAGGCGAGGGCAGCGCGATCCCAATGGAGAGAGGAGCAGGCGACCACCCACGCGGTGAGAGGCAAAATGCTTGAGCAGGGCCAGGGCCTTCGGCGGCCGTTGTCGGAGACTTCCTCCGAAGAGCGCACAACGGCATAAACATAAACTTCCGGAGATCCGCGCGTATGACTTACATCGTCACTTGCGCCCCACCTGCGCGAGTGGGGAGCGCGCCAGGAGCGGCGCCAGAGGTGCTGCTATGGTGCCCAGTGCCGATCCGAGAAATACGCGCGGGCCTCCGAAAGTCTATGCTCACGTCGTTCCTTGTTCCCCGAGGGAAGGAGGAGGAGGAGGAGGAGGAGGAGGAGGAGGAGGAGGAGGAGGAGGAGGAGGGAGGGGAAGGAGGGGAGGAAGGGGAAGGCGGGGAAGGTGGAGGTGGAGGAGGGGAGGGGGGGGGGAGGAGTAAAAGTAGGAGGAGGATCAGTGTAAACCCTAGAGTCATCAACGATGTTGGAATGAACCCTCCCTCCAAGCTCCCTCTTCACAGGCTCCTGCAACGGTTCATTTCCATTAGGGGAACTGCCTCGTTGGAAGACAACTGTTTGAAGACCCTGAAGCATGCCAAAACATGGTTCTCGGGATTCCAACGCCACGGATCAACCTGAGTTGTGCGTGTTGACATTCCATAATCGTGCCAGAACGCCGTTTCTGCGACTTCAGCACAGCGAATCAACGTAACTGTTGCGCCAACGTAATCCTGAATCTTTTTAAACACCATTTCTGATACGTTGATGATTGGAATGTGCGCCGCGCGAAGGTGAGGCGAAACGCCCGGCCCGCCCTAAAAACTGGCCTCGCGGAGCGACAGGGATAAATTATTTGTAAAGAAATCCAATGCAGAAGGAGGGGGAGGGGAGGAGGGAGGGAGGAGGAGGAGGAGGAGGAGGAGGAGGAGGAGGAGGAGACGGAGGGGGAGGAGGAGGGGAAGGAGGAGGAGGGGAAGGAGGAGGAGGGAGGGGGTCCTGGGGAAGGCCCGCGGGTTCCAGGTCTCGTCTCCCGCAGTACCCGTGTGCCGAACGATCGTAGAGCGAAGGGGATCATTATTCTCCGTGTCCCGATCGTTATCTTCCCCGTTATAAGAAGTATCGGTGAGTGATCCTTGAGCGAAGGGGGGGCATTCTTTTCCTTATCTTCATCGCTGTCTTCCCCGTCATCAGCAGCATCGGTGAGGGAACCTGAAGCTAAGGAGGCATTATCCTCCTCATTATCCCCATCGTTACCTTCCCCGTCATCAGAAGCGGCGATGAGGGATCCGAGAACGAAGGGGGGCGTTCTCCTGCTTATCCCCACAGGAAGAGTAGGAGGTGAACGGGAGGCGATGGGGATAGAAAGGAGGAAAGGAGCGGAGAACAAAGAGGAGGATGAGGGACGTATGAGGAGTGAAGAAGATGCGGAGGGGAGGAGGAAGGATGAGAGAGGGGGGAGGGACATGGAGAGGGGTGGATGAGGGGAGGGGAAATCGGGGGATGAGGAGGAGGAGGAGGAGGAGGAGAAACATAAGCAGGAGGAGGCGTACCAGGAGGGAGGGAAGGTTGTGAGGGAGGCATAGGGAGGGGCCTCAAGGAGGAGGAGGAGGAGGATGACCAGAGTACACCAAATATTCATTTGCGATTCTGCAATGCACCACCCTGTCCAAACTCCCCTCCGCACACGTCCCTACAAGCTTTCCTCTTCACTACAAGAAGCGCCTCCTTGAGAGACCAGTACGGATGGGCGTGCCATTTTAGCGAGGGCCCCGCTTTGAAAAGGAATTGCCTTGCATCCTTCTGGCGCTTTGCCAGGAATGCGAGAGCCTATGATCATACAGCCAACGAGCTGTCCAGCGAGATCTCTCTTTACAATTCGACATGTGTGGCCGGGAACTTCGAGGACTTCCCGAGCCAGTGGTCCGGTGTCAAACAAGAGCCGCCCTGTTCCCGTGCAGTGCCACATGTGTTGCCCCCCCGTGTTTTCACAACGACGACACCTCGGGCCAGAATGCCATGTTGAACAAGAGTAGGAGTCTTCGCCCCCCAAGATGCTCCATCCACAAGGCACGAATGTGCGCGGCGCTGAGGCGAGAGCGCAATCTTGAACACGTCATGTGCTTAGCAGTTTTTGCACTGCCTGATTTGGGAGCGAATGTGCGCGGAGTCCGGGCGAGAGCCACAATTTGGCAAGGAGCAGCCCTCCAGCATGGAATCTCCCGCAGAAGGTTGCAGATGAAATGCGCGGCGCTCATGCGAGAGAGACACACTTTGAACACGACCCCCCCCCCACACACACACCCGAAGCTGTCGCAGACTTTGGAGTCGAACGTGTGTGGCGCCGAGGCGAGGGCCCCGTTTTCAAACAGGACCTGTGCGTTCACTGTGAGTGCCTCCGGTCTGAGGCTTCGCGAGGTACGGGTGGTGGGGAGGTCTCGGGCGAAACGCCTGGCCCGCCCTACAGACACGCTTGGGGCTGCGGCAGGGAGGAGTCATCAGGAGGAGCGTCCGAACGGAATGACCAGGCGCATCCTCATCATCCTCATCATCAACTTCATCATCATTATCAGCAGCACCAGCAGTATCATCATCTGAACATCTCTGATCTTCGATATGATGGGTCTGATCTGAGGTTGCGGAGGGAGACCGACGTGAAACGGAGGCCTCTAACTGGGAAATCTGTTCCTGTTTCGGCTCGTGACGTGCGGACGGGTGAGGCGAAGCTGCGCGAGGACGAGAGTGATCTTGCCCCAGTGTCGCCCAGGCCACGCCCACATGAGTCGCGTCTCGTCTGGGGCGTCCCCCCCAGTGGTTCGGTGGTTGGCTGTCCCGTGGGGTTATTCGTGGCCGTGCCCCGTGCTGAGGAGGTGGGGCCCCTCGGTCATGGAAAGGGGTGGGTGTGCACATGTTCTGTGGGGCGGAGGGGGAGGGGCGGGGGCGCGGTGGGCGGAGAGAACAGAAGAACAGAACAGAGGCCCGTCTCCTGGCTGCGAGAGCCAGTCCCTTGGGGCGCGCGGAGCGCCGGGGCGGGCCAGAAGGAACGCACCACTGCAGCAATGTGAAGGATGACGGCGGCGTCGCCTCGCCCATTCTCGCATCCTGTTCTCGCATTCTCGCCTCGCCTATTCTAGACGGCGGTTCCGGAGAGAGGGGGGGCGTCTGTCGGGGGCCCCCAAACGGGGTGGTGACCACACCGTGTGGTGAGTCGGTGGGGATTCGGGGTTACCGCACGGTTTTGGGACTCGAGTCCCTCTCCGAGGATGTCTTGGGCGACAGGGGCCTCCAGGGTGCCAAGACCGTGCGGTAACGGACCGTGCGGTGAGGTCTTGGGGAATTTCGAGGTCACCGCACGGTCTGTCACCGCACCGTTTCGGGACTCCCAAACTTGGCAAGCCGAGCGGATTCGAGGAGCGCTGTCTCTCCCCCCTCGTGTTTGGGGACGCTGCCGCCCAGCTCGTGCGGTGCTGGGCGTGGCGTTGCCAGCGTCGCAGCCGGGGCAGGTGGAGCGTGAGGAGAACGACGAGGAGGAGGAGGAGGAGGAGGAGGAAGAGGAGGAGGAGGAGGAGGAGGAGGAGGAGGAGGATGATAAAAAAGAAAGAGGAGGCGGAGGCGGCGGCGGAGGAGGAGGAGGAGGACGACGACGAAGAGGAGATGAGGTGGGATGAGAAGGGGGAGGTCGGAGTACGAAAAGGAGGAGGAGGAGGAGCAGGAGGAGGAGGAGGAGGACGTAGACGCAACGGCCATCTCGCCGAGGTCTGCACTCTTTACGACAACAAGGGCGACAACGAAGAGGAGGGATGAGGCGGAGCACGAACAGGACGAGGATGGATCCTGTGTCGGAGGGGCTGCCCGCAAGCGCAGGCGGCGGCCAGGCGGCAGCCAGCCGAGCCTCCCCCGAGAGTTGCCTGTGGACGGCCACGCCTCCCGGGGGCCGCTCCTGCTCTTTCTCCTCCTCCTCCTCCTCCTCCTCCTCCTCCTCCTCCTCCTCCTCCTCCTCCTCCGCCTCCGCCTCCGCCTCCTCCTCCCCCCCCTCCTCCCCCTCTCCTCCCCCTGCTCCCGCGGGTCCGCTTAGCGGCGGCCCGCCGCGAGGAAGTCCAGCAGAGGGTGCCGCGGCGTGAGGGCGCACTCGTGGTCGGCACAGCGTCGCGTTGGAGCTCTGGCCGCCCATGGCGCCGAGGGTGCGGCCGCGGCCCGCGCCCGCGCCAACCGGTCTCGGGCCCGCCGTGCCCAGCGGCAGCCCGCACTGTTTTTGGCCGTCTCCATGGCCAGCGCCACTCTTGTGTACGAGAGGGTCAGCGCTGACGAGGAGGAGGAGGAGGAGCAGGAGGAGGAGGAGGAGCAGGAGGAGGAGGAGGAGGATAATCACGATGATGATGATGATGATGATGATGATGATGATGATGATGATGATGATGATGATGATGATGATGATGATGATGGTGATGATGATGCTGATGCTGATGCTGATGCTGATGCTGATGCTGATGATGATGATGATGGTGATGGTGATGGTGGTGGTGATGATGGTGATGATGGTGATGATGGTGATGATGATGGTGATGATGGTGATGGTGGTGATGGTGGTGGTGATGATGCTGATGCTGATGCTGATGTTGATGGTGATGGTGATGGTGATGATGATGATGATGATGATGATGATGATGATGATGATGATGCTGCTGCTGCTGATGATGATGATGATGATGATGATGATCTGATGCAGCTGATGATGGACATGCCGAACCTGATGAACATGTTGATGAAACTGATGATGCTGGAGCTGGTGGTGATGATGGTGGTGATGCTGATGGTGATGATGGTGGGATGGTGGTGGTAATGACGTTGTTGATGATGATGCTGATGACGATGATGACGATAATGACGATGATGACGATGCTGTTAATGATGATACTGATGTTGATGGTTGCGTTAGTGGTGATGATGGTGATGCTGATGATGGGTGTGGTGGTGGTGATGATGATGCTGCTGCTGCTGATGATGATGATGATGATGATGATGGTGGTGACGCTGCTGCTGCTGCTGCGGATGACGATGACGATGACCATGATGATGAGGAGGATCAGGAGCAGGAGGAGGAGGAGGAGGAGGAGAGCAGGAGGAGAAGGAGCAGGAGGAGCAGGAACAGGAGGAGGAGGAGGAGACCGTAGAGGCAGAGGAGGAGAGTCATCTACGTATGAAGGCGGTGGATTGGAGGAGGATGCGAGGAGGGAGGTGGTGAGGATGAGGATCAGGTCCAGGAGGCTGAGGAGGAGGAGGAGGAGGAGGGGGATACGAGGAACACAGAAGTCCGCAGTGCAGCTGCTTCCCAGAACGCAGCAAGTTCGTTCCAAGTTCCCGTCCTCCTCCACCCATCGGTCCTCCTCACCCTCCGTCATTGGGAGTGGTGGGGTGTATGGCCAGGTGTCCTCTGGAGCGGTGAAGCTATGCGTCAAGCAGCTCAAGATGAAGGCTGGCGCCCCCAGCGAAGAGAGTGTGCGGGGGGGGGGGGCAGTCGGGGGGTCGAAGGCGAGGGAAAGCGGTACGCCTTCCCACCCACCAGTCCCTCTCCATCCTCTCCCTCATCCTTGTCCTTTTCCTGCGCCTGCTTCCGGTCCTCATTCCCATTGCCTCCTCTCTCCCTCCTCTTCTTCCCCCTCCTCCTCCTCATCCTCCGCCTCCACCTCCTCCTCTTCCTCCTCTGCCTCCTCCTCCTCCTCCTCCTCCTCCTCCTCCTCTTCCTCCTCCTCCTCCTCCTCTCATCGCCGTCATATTTCCCTGCTCCGAAGCATCATCATCGTCATCAGCATCACCATCCTCAGCATCGTCATCATCAGCATCAGCATCACCATCAGCAGCAGCATATCTCTCTTCAGCTGCATACTCATCACCACCCCACCACCACCGCAAGTATCATCATGCTCAACAGCATTATCATCATACTCATCATTGGCATCGTCATCACCCTCGCCATCCTCATTGTCATCCTCATACTGTACTCCTCTCCTCCACCCCTCATCATCATGCTCCTCCGTCTTCTCCCTTCTCCCCCCTCTTCCTCCTCAACGCCTCTACCAGCTCCTCCTTGGCCCCACGCGAGTGACAAGGTGGACGGGCCGAGGGGGAAGTGTGACGAGAGTCTTCCATGAATGGGGGCATGGAAGCAGCGCGTGTGGACGGGGATAGGTGAGGAAGGGAACGAGAACGAAAATGGCAGGGAACGAGGGATGGAGGTGAGGGATGTAGGGCAGGCGGGAGGAGGAGAATACGTGGGGGATGACTCGGATGACGGGGCGGAAGTGAGCGAAGAATACAGGGGGGGAGGAGGAGGAGGAGGAGGAGGAGGAGGGGG